CTATCTATCTATCTATCTATCTATCTATCTATCTATCTATCTATCTAGATATATAGATATATAGATATATAGATATAGATATATAAATAATAAAATGAAATACTACTTACTACTTGTACTACTATTCCTATTTTGCGGTTTTTCACTTATCGCGGGGCTTCAGGGTACGGATCCCCCACAATAAACGAAGGACTAGTGAGATATTTTGAAAAGGTTACCACTCAGTGGGCGTGTCCAAGCAACAACAGGTACATAACTTCTACAGATTCAGGACTCACGGCAATGTTTATGGTTTGGTTTAGCCTCGAGTTGCATTCGGACCAAAACATTCTGACCCGACCCGGCCCCAGCCCATAGCTATTGTTTCTGAACCCATCCCGACCCGATCATTTAACTGTAATCACAGGCCCGAACCAGAAAAAAAAAAATCCTGACTTTTTTTTTTATTAAGCTTTTACTGCTTTTGTAAGCAAATCAGTTTGACATAATATTTTAAAAACTTATTTCAAAGAAAGGAAGCTATATGATATAAGACATATAAGATATTTAGAACAAAAATATCTAAATGTATTGCAGTACTATACAAAGTCAGGGAATTATTAAATGATAAAGCTCTGTACATGTTGTAAAACACAATCATTGTTCCACATTTAATCTATTGCATTGATGTTTGGGGGAAAGCGTGTAAAACATTTACAAAGCCTATTTTTATCTTACAGAAAAGAGCTGTAAGAATTATCACCAGAAACATTACAGTCACCCATCAAGCACATTATTTTGGCCCAACCGGGCCCGAATTTTGGGTCAGGCCAGGCTAGCCTGGGTTAGAAACCGCAGCTCTAGTTTGGCCTGGACTCAGAGTCTTTCTTTAGTTTTAGTCCCACTGATGTGGGACTTCCATGATGCCCTGACCACCTCTGTTTGTGACAAAGTGAAGATTTGATGCAATGTGCTGACGTCTTAGATAGATAAGGTTCATTCATGGGAATTTTATAATTTACTGTTAAGTACAAGAACTGAATTGACTGTAACTGGATTCAAATCTGGATCAGAATTGGATTTATGATTTGGACTTGTTTGTTTAATGCCATGACAAACTTTTGCTGAGAAGTGACACGATATAAACAAACTGAACTGAATTGAGTTACTGAAAGCACATACCAGTGCGTGGCTGGTTGCGTCGAACAGCTCGAATGCGAATGTTTCCTAGATCAGCCACAAACAGTGTCCCATCCGGAGACACCACCAAAGATGAAGGACAATTAAGTCTGGCATCTTTAGCATAACCATCTCCAGTTTGATAGCAGTCACAGTTGGCATCATTCTGCAGGACAGCAAACAGTGAAGGTAAAGAACAAAATGTTACTAGAAAACATTCACAGAGTCCTGATGGTTATTTGTTGAGTTTTTAGTGACAAGCAGAACTGATCAGACTGGTGTGAACACTGGATAAATGAAGATGTGGTACCTTGCAGTCACAGTCAGATGTTGCACCAGCTATATGGGTAATTTCTCCGTCAGTTGATACCTGGTAAGGTGATAAAGAAAGTGAAAAAAAAAAGTAATAAAAAAGAACAAAAATCTGACACTTGCATACATTATCGAACATGTCCAACAAAGTTCATGCGCAATCATCCAGGTATCGAATCCAATAATTCTCAGCCAGGTCATCTGGACTGTTTCTTTTTTATAGAGACGTTTCACCCTCTATCCAGAGGGCTTCATCAGTCTGAGGAGTTCCAGTAAACTGTTTCCCCACCAAGCAGTAAAGTGGACCAACCAGTTTGCTGGAGCTAAAATGGTTTCTGGGGGCCGTCCTGTCCCCTGTCGACTCCTCCCAGGCAGGCAGCCACAGCCAAAGAATCAGAATAAGCTTTATTATCATTGCACTGAGATACAATGAGAACATGTACGTACAGTTGTCCGGAAGATGGACTGAGTGCACGAAGCTGCTGCTGTAAGCGCGGCCTCTCTTATCCTTTTTCAGAATAATATTCTTAGATAGGAAAAGGGGGAGAACCATGAGGGTAGATGGTGGTATCACAAAAAAAGATCTTTCACATCTTGTCTATCAGGACACGATTTGAGACATCAAAAAACTCTACCAGCAGCTCAATTAAAACATGAGTACATTTACATTTGACGTCAAGGTGTTGAGATTTGTCCATGAGCGTTTTTCAGATCGGTCACAGTTTCTGATGATGTTGTTTCAGCCGGCAGTTCTGATAAGCCTGCACAGATGAAGCTTTTATCCTTGGTTACCCATGACCCAGGAGAAATTTTATAGCCGTCCTGTCTCCGAGGCCAACGGAGAGTCAGATTCAGATAAGCTTGATTGTTGATCAGGCAGACAGACTTTTTCTTCAGCCTTGAGTCCATCTGGACGTTCTGGTTACAAAATGGCCTGATTGTGGGAATCCATTCCACTGATTCATGCTATGAGTCTCCCTCAAGGTCGAACCACCACGCTGATGAGTCCCAGAAGCCACAGGTAGCCTGCAATTCTCATAAATCATCTCCACCTTATAGTTTAGCTCGTAAATCAACTGATTTTGAGCACTCACATCACGGACCAAACCTTCACACTGACTCGGAAGCTTTTCCATGGCCGAAACTGCTGCCGATGTCGTCTTCAATAGTCAATAAAACAGAGCCCCGCCGATGCCAAAAAGCAGAGTCCCTGCTATCACAAATCCAAATATGTAAACGTCTTCAACATCCTCCTGAGACAGAACTGAGAGGCACATCAGCTGCCACACTCCCCACGGGTCCATGAAGTACCCCACAATGTGCGTCTCAGCTGGACAAGCAGATTCTCCAGGACCCTGTCGTTTTGTTGAAAAAATGTTGTTGATAGCGTTGAACGTCCAGGATACCAGATCCATAATCTTAATTTCTGTTTGGGAGATGTGAACCAGGTGCTTCAGACACACAGAGAGCAAAGCAGGAGGAAGGAAAAAATGGGAGAGGGAAGACAAGCAGCCACCTCGAGTGAGAGCCAGAGAGAGAAAGAGAAAAAAGTGGTTCAAGGCAACAAAGTTCATGCTCAATCATCCAGGTATTGAATCTAATAATGCTCAGTCAGCTCATCTGGACAGTTTCTTTTTTATAGAGACGTTTTGCCCTCTATCCGGAGGGCTTCATCAGTCTGAGGAGTCCCAGTAAACTGTTTCCCCACCAAGCAGTAAACTCCTTAAGTGGATCAACCAGTTTGCTGGAGCTAAGATGGTTTCTGGGGGCCGTCCTGACCCCGTCGACTCCTCCCAGGCAGACAGCCACAGCCAAAGTGTTTCAAGGCAACAAAGTTCATGCTCAATCATCCAGGTATCGAATCCAATAATTCTCAGTCAGGTCATCTGAACAGTTTCTCTTTTCTTTTTTTTTTTTTTAGAATGTTTTTTAATAAAGTTATATGTAGATGAGATCATTATAAGTACAAAGTATTATTATGCATGTCTGGGGTGAGTAAGCATAGGCCGGTATGAAAACCTATAGCAAGGTCACCACAGCCCCATGCTTTTAAAACAAAAAGCAACCAAATAAAAATTTTAAATGTGTGATACAAGTGAGTGGCTTTAATTAAAAAATTGAAATTCAGCTATCCTTTTTGTTCTTTTGGCTGCTCCTTTATACAGGAGTCGCCACAGTGAGTAAACTTACACAAAATATTTGGCAATTATTTTACTACGGATGCCCTAGGTGTGGTTTGAGACCTGGATACGTGTCTTAGAGGCCTTTTGTCAGGTGAGCTCCCATACAGGAGTAAAATACAGCTAGAGACAGATTGGAGGAGACGCTCACAAAAACTCATGACTTTGAGGGAAGATTTATCACAAATCCAACAATGTTCAGTCAGGTCATCTGGACGGTTTCTTTATGTGCTGGGACTTTCATCCTTCATCCGAAGGACTTCTTCAATCTGAGGAGCCACCAACAAACTGAGTCCTGCCACAAACAGCACAGCCCCATAGTGGAAAAAAACAGTTTGCTGATGATAAGATGGCCTCCGGGGCCCACTCTTTCCCCCGTCAACTCAGAGGAGTTGAAGAAGTCCTTTGAATAAAGGACGAAACGACCCAGCAACAAAATAAACAGTCCAGATGACCTGACTGAACATTGTTGGATTATTACCTGGATTATTGAGCATGAACTTTGGTATTTATCAGAAATGTTATGAACATATTCAACGCTGAAGCAACAGGACCGTTCACCTCTGCAACTCACAAAAGGAACTTGATAACCACTGTGAACGTCTCAAGACATTCTGTAGACTCGGTAATGAATGCTGTCGACCAGTTAGTCACAGTCAGAGATCAGCTTTAACAGCACACATTGTCAGGTACAATTAAATCCTTCTTGTAAACTACGGTGGTTGAAAAGTTCTCCTCTTTGCTAAATATAGATGTATAGATGAATATTCCATAAAGATTCAGCAAATTACTTGTCGAATACGGTGGATTTTCTTCTCATCGGTCTCTGCGATGTAAAGGACACCGCTGTAGGACAAGGCGATGGCTGAGGCACCCTCCAGCATTGTTTGCACCGCTCTCTTACTCATGGTGTACTCTATGCCTGGTACTTGGCAGTGCATGGGCCGACCCACCACAATACGAACCTGAACACACAACCACAGACATCAAATGGAGTTTAGACTAAAACAGTAACATTGACTTTATGGTTTTGGGAAAATATCAAAGCTTGATTTTAAGTACTGTTCATATTACTCCAAACAGCAGGAAGACTACATATTGGTGTTATCATTTAGTACCTGTCCGTTTTCAGTGATCTGCAGCACAACATTGTTGTCCAGGACATAAATGGAGTTATCCATGGGATTGATGGCTAGATCTGTGGGCCACTCTAATCGAACCTGCATTTAGACATAAATGTTCATTTTTAAAGGTGCACTGATGTATTATTCATTTCTTCTAACACTGTTGTCAGATACATGAAACCTTTGTATTTCCAGGTGTGTTTAGTGAGTGTAACCTGAACTCTAGTCTGAACTAGTCTATAATAATAATAATAATAATAATTTTATTTAAAAAGTGCCTTTCATGACACCCAAGGATACTTTACAGTAAGAACAAAGATCAACAGGAATAAATTACATAAAGAATATAAAATGCATAAAGAATATAAAATACATAGAGCAAAGTTAAGGATAAGCGAGTCTAAAGAGATGTGTTTTCAGAGCAGTCTTGAATATAGAAACAGAGGTGGTGTTTCTTAAGTCAGGGGGTAGAGAGTTCCAGAGATGAGGGGCAGAGCAGGTGAAGGCCCTGCTCCCCATGGTGGAGAGGCGGGCAGAGGGTACAAGGAGGTGTAGTGAAGAGGAGGATCTGAGAGAGCGAGAGGGGATGGAGATGTGTAGGAGGTCAGATAGGTACGGAGGGGCAAGGTTGTGGATAGCTTTGAAAGTGAGAAGAAGAATTTTGAAGACGATGCGTGATTTAACCGGGAGCCAGTGGAGCTGCTGCAGGACTGGAGTGATGTGGTTATAGGAGGAGGTTTGAGTGATGACACGGGCAGCTGAGTTCTGGATCGTTTGCAGCTTCTGGAGAGATTTGTTGGGGAGGCCATAAAGAAGGGAGTTGCAGTAGTCAACACAAGAAGTCACAAGACTGTGAACAAGGATAGCTGTGGAGCGGGATGTGAGAGAAGGGTGGAGACGGTTAATATTTCAGAGATGGAAATAGGCAGACCGAGTGACATTGTTGATGTGTGAAGTGAAGGAGAGAGTGGTGTCGAGGATGACACCAAGACTCTTGACCTGAGGCGAGGGGGATAGCAGAGAGTTGTTAAGGGGGATGAGAAGATTTTCTGATTTTGAAAGAGAGTCTTTGGTACCGACAAGAATGATTTCTGTTTTGTTACTGTTTAGTTGTAGGAAGTTGTTAGAAAACCAGTGATTTAGGTCATTGAGACAGTCGGTGAGGATGGAGGGTGGGTGGGTGGAGTTTGGTTTTGTTGACAAGTAGAGCTGTGTGTCATCAGCATAACAGTGAAAATGGACATCAAATTTACGGAAGATGTGACCTAGAGGAAGGAGGTAAATGATGAAGAGGAGGGGTCCGAGGACAGAGCCTTGGGGGACACCCGTGGAGACAGGGGAAGAATGGGAACGAAAGGATTTGAGCTGAATGAATTGAGTGCGGTCAGAGAGATATGATTTGAACCAGTCTAACGGAGTACCTGAGATGCCAATGGAGGTTAGTCTGTTGAGGAGGATAGAATGACAGATTGTGTCGAAGGCAGAACTTAGATCCAGTAAAATGAGGATAGACAGAAGAGCAGAGTCAGCAGCAAGAAGAAGGTCATTAGTTATTTTTATTAGAGCTGTTTCGGTGCTATGGTGGGGGCGAAAACCAGATTGAAACTCTTCATAAATGTTATTGTTGGATAGGTGAGAGTGAAGTTGACTAGCAACGGCTTTTTCAAGAACTTTGGAAATAAAGGGCAGATTAGAGATTGGACGAAGAGTCTAGGCAATAGTCTAGGCAATCTTTGCTTGAACTGAAGGAAATATAAATGGAGAAATCAACACTATTACAAACATGTTAGTAAAGAAACTAGTAAATGTAAATTGGGAAACCTAGAGACAGTATAAGTCAAACATGAAATGAATAAGGCTTAATGTGTCTTGAATGGATAGGTGGCTTGTTCCCTTTTTCCTGCTGCTGTCTTCTACAGTATATCCATGTGTATTACTCTACATTGTCATTGTGGATAAAAGATTATCATACATCACTCACAATCTATACAAAGAATAATCAGAGCTTTATCACACTCATACACCGATGGACACACATCGGAGGCATTTAGAGGTTCACTGCCTTGCAGGGACACTTCGGCATGTGACTGTTGGTGGAATCGAACCCCCAACTCTTGTAATGGAGGACGACTGCTCTAACCACTCAGCCACAGCCGCCCCTAACATAAGCAAACAAAAAACAAAACAAAAATAAAAACCAAACGAAAAACCTTAGTTTGCATAATTATTCAACACACCCCCCTCACCCCCCATTATAGTTAGATAGCTAGATAGACAGATAGATACATACACTGATTAAATCAAACCAGTGATTCTCAGTTAGACTGACGTCTGGGCTTTGACTGGACCATTCCAGGACCTTTAGCTTCTTCTCTTTAAACCAGTGACATGTTGCTTATAAATGTGCTCAGGTTCATTGATCTGATAAAAGGTGGAGCTATGTCCCAGCCTCAAATTCCTGGAAGACTCTTACAGGTTCCTCTTTCCCATTTTCCAAGACTATACTGTAGAAAACAATCCACCGACATGATGCTGCCACCACCATTATTCAGTGTGGTGATGATGTTCTCAGAATAATGAGGTGGTTGATTTGCCTGAGGTGGTGCTCTGTTGACTCACAGCAAGGTCACTGTCGAGGTCTTTCCATGTGGAATTTGCATGTTCTCCCTGTGCCTGTGTGGCTTTTCTCCAGGTACTCTGTTTTCTCCCCAAAAGCCTTTTTCTTCCATTAATTAGCTACTCTACATTGTCACTAGCTGTGAGTATGAATGACTGTCTGGCTCTTGGTGGTTCTGTGATGGTAGTAAGTGGAGTAAAGAAGATGGGCACATGTATTTATGAAATGATAACTTTTTCCTCCAAATAAATAATCAGGAGTATTTAGTGTATGTTTAATACTTTGAATTCAAAATGAAAACCCATTGAAACCCATTGAAAAAATGAAAACCCATCGGGGCTGAGATGGTGTAGGGGCAGGGCAGCCGACCCGGGACCCGAAGGTCCTGGGTTCGATCCCCAGTTGTTGCACATCTCGTGTTGTCTCTGAGCAGCACACCCAATCCCGAATTGCTCCCCAGGCGCTTACATGCTGTCCACTGCTTCACCTGGGTGTATCCCAGGTGCGATGGGTTAAATGCAGAGAGCCCATTTCATCTTTGTATGGGAACATGCAATGATGACAATAAGGCATCAGACTAGAATAAATACAAAGTGGTGGTGGTAGGTGGATGGGTGGGGGTGACTGCTTTTCCAACATATTGTGTTTTAAAGGATTATTTGCTTTGACGCTGAGCTGAACATAATTTTTTCTGCATGTCACCTGTCTGATATGCATGCTGGTATCACAGGTCAAAGGTCGTGCAGACGTGAGGTCGTTGCTGCCCAGCACTGTGGAGATGATTCCATTACGATCCACCTTCCTGATCATTGTTCCATCCACAAAGTAGATTAGCCCATTCTTATCAACTGCAATCCCTGTGGGAGCACAAACACAAAAATAAACAAAAGATTTAGAAAATCAGCAAAATGTTATAAGAATATAAAACACATCTATATTGTGGCTGAGGACTATTTTCTCAAGAACTGTTTATAGATGAATGGGAGATTGGACATTTGGTCTATAATTGACCAGGACTTCAGAATCAAGATGAAGTTTCTTAAGTAAAGGTTTAATTACAGCAATCTGAAAGGGAAACCCCTCATTTAAGATTGTTAGAACTGGATCTAGCAGACATGTTGATTGGTTAGATGAAGCTATCATTTTTGACAGCTCAGGATTGACATTTCATTTGGTAGGGAATTAGAGGCAATCATAGATGGTGTGAATTTTCAATTTGACAATTTTTTAAATAAAAAAAAATCATATCATCACTACTTAGTTATATAGATGCAAGGCTCAACAGAGACAGGACTTTTCATGAATTTAGCTACGGTACTAAACAAAAATATTTTTTTCTTGTTCTCTATTAAAAATTCAAAGCTTCAGCTTCTACCCTGAGGCTGTTAGACTCATGAATATCTAACTAGAATAATCACTGTGAAAAACCATATCATGTTGCTGCTGATCTGTTTCATGTTGCTGCTGATCTGTTTCAATGTTGATGTGTTCATGCGTGCACATCTGCTCACAGACTCATGTTCATGTTTGTGCTGATGTTCAATGTTTTATGTTATGAGTGCTTAGTGTATATTTAGTTGATGTTTTTCTTAGTTCATATCTTAGATGTTATTACTGTTTTTCTTATACATTTTATTGTTGGATGTAACTGGGACCCTGTGAACATAATTTCGCTCCACCACATGTACCACATGAGGTGCGAATGACAATAAAGAAACTCTGACTCTGACTCTGACTCTGAAGATACATGATACACATTTCTAGCTTTACAAAGGGTTTTCTTGTAAGTTAGCACACTGGCTTTTTAGGTTAAATAAAATTCTTCTGTTAGCACAACAGTCCAGTGTTTTCCCTAGCATTATACAAGCAGGGCACCCCACCCTGTCAACAGAACCGAGCGCCCTGCCCACGAACACCCTGCTAAGGCAAGTAAACTAAGGGAAACATTGAAACACCATTTTCTTTCCAGCTTTCTAGATGCCTGTTTTAAAGTACGTAACTCAGGAATTGAACCAAGGAGCCAGCTTCCTCTGACTGATCACTTTCTTTTTCAAAGGTGCAATTTTACCAAGTGATGTTTGAATAGAAGCTGTATATTATTATCAAGAAGATTATTTAATTTGCTGCTCTCCGTTACATCACCCAGAAGGATGGAGGAAAATAAAATGGAAGAGATTATTATTTTTTTGGTTACAAAATTCTCTGATATACATCTACTGTAACAAGTTACTCCCAGTGGCTGTGTACTCAGTTAATGTAAACTCAAATGTTATTTAAAAACGGTCAATGATTGTGAGTATATATAATTATGCGCTCACTCTCTATGCCATATGTCAGAACCAGATCAAGAACATGTTTTTTCGTTTTTTAATATCATTTTCTTCCTTTTACTTTTCAATTTACATGTCCTTCTCAAAAAATGAGCATATTGTGATAAAGGTCATTATTTTCTATAATGTAATGATAAAAATGAAACTTTCATATATTTCAGATTCATTGCACACCAACTGAAATATTTCAGGTCTTTAATTGTTTTAATACTGATGATTATGGCATACAGCTCATGAAAACCCAAAATGCCTGTCCCAAAACATTAGCATATCATGAAAAGGTTCTCTAAACAAGCTATTAACCTAACCATCTGAATCAACGACGTAACTCTAAACACCTGCAAAAGATTCCTGAGGCTTTTAAAAACTCCCAGCCTTGTTCATTACTCAAAACCACAATCATGGGTAAGACTGCCGACCTGACTGCTGTCCAGAAGGCCATCATTGACACCCTCAAGCAAGAGGGCAAGACACAGAAATAAATTGCTGAACGAATAGGCTGTTCCCAGAGTGCTGTATCAAGGCACCTCAGTGGGAAGTCTGTGGGAAGGGAAAAGTGTGGCAGAAAACGCTGCACAACGAGAAGAGGTGACCGGACCCTGAGGAGGATTGTGGAGAAGGGCCGATTCCAGACCTTGGAGGACCTGCGGAAGCAGTGGACTGAGTCTGGAGTAGAAACATCCAGAGCCACCATGCACAGGCGTGTGCAGGAAATGGGCTACAGGTGCCGCATTCCCCAGGTCAAGCCACTTTTGAACCAGAAACAGCAGCAGAAGCGCCTGACCTGGGCTACTGAGAAGCAGCACTGGACTGTTGCTCAGTGGTCCAAAGTACTTTTTTCAGATGAAAGCAAATTTTGCATGTCATTCAGGAATCAAGGTGCCAGAGTCTGGAGGAAGACTGGGGAGAAGGAAATGCCAAAATTCCAGAAGTCCAGTGTGAAGCACCCACAGTCAGTGATGGTCTGGGGTGTCATGTCATCTGCTGGTGTTGGTCCACTGTGTTTTATCAAGCGCAGGGTCAATGCAGCTAGCTATCAGGAGATTTTGGAGCACTTCATGCTTCCATCTGCTGAAAAGCTTTATGGAGATGAAGATTTCATTTTTCAGCACGACCTGGCACCTGCTCACAGTGCCAAAACCACTGGTAACTGGTTTACTGACCATGGTATTACTGTGCTCAATTGGCCTGCCAACTCTCCTGACCTGAACCCCATAGAGAACCTGTGGGATATTGTGAAGAGAAAGTTGAGAGAACAAGACCCAACACTCTGGATGAGCTTAAGGCCGCTATTGAAGCATCCTGGGCCTCCATAACACCTCAGCAGTGCCACAGGCTGATTGCCTCCATGCCACGCAGCATTGAAGCAGTCATTCATGCAAAAGGATTCCCGACCAAGTATTGAGTGCATAACTGAACATGATTATTTGAAGGTTGGCGTTTTTTGTATTAAAAACACTTGTCTTTCATTGGTGGGATGAAATATGCTAATTTTTTGGGACAGGCATTTTGGGTTTTCATGAGCTGTATGCCATAATCATCAGTATTAAAACAATTAAAGACCTGAAATATTTCAGTTGGTGTGCAATGAATCTGAAATATATGAAAGTTTCATTTTTATAATTACATTATGGAAAATAATGACCTTTATCACAATATGCAAATTTTTTGAGAAGGACCTGTATATGCTTTTTTATGATTGTCTAGTGTTGTCATCATTCTTTGTTAAAACAGGTCTCTCTTGTAAATGAGTTATTGAGGCTCAACGAGACTAACCTGTATAAATAAAGGTTAGATGAAAAGAATATGATGAAGAGGAGAAGTTCGTGGACATTTTGGGTAAAACCAACAAACGCTACTAAATTAATAAAGACTATGTTTAAATTATCACTTTCAATATGTGCATGGATGTTGAAATCCTCCACTATTATCATTTTATCAGCGTTCAGAAATAAATCAGATAATTCAGCCAAAAACTGTTGGATAGTATTTAACAACAGATGAGGGTCAAAGACAAAAGATTTATAAATACAATTTTGTTTAACTTGATGAATAATCCTGACTGAAAAATAGCAGCCACTCCTCCTCAAACTGTCGTTCTAGGAAAATGAAAATTTAGATAATTAGCAGGAGTGGATTCATTTATACAAAAAATATTATCCTGTTGTATCCAGAATTCTGGCTCATTTTGCGAGCAGGGGTCACAAATAATTTAAAACAGCAATGTAGTGCACTTCAATATATCAAATTGCTTTATGGAATCTGTTTCCTCCACATTTTTGAAAATGTGTATTTTAATTCAGTCTTTACTCCTGCTACTTTTAGTGTGCACGTGCCACTGTGTGTGCAGCCTGTTGCAGTCGTTCCTACCTTTTTCTTTACTTGTCAACTTTTTTCTATTAGGTATACAGTATTATTATTATTATTGTGCCTATATGAGGGAAGTGTTTGTGTCTTTTCTATAATGTTTGTTGAGAAAGCTTTATTTATTCTTTGATTTGTTTCCCTTTCAGTGAGCGCTGTTGAACAGATTGCTTACACCAGAGATGAGCTGACAGAGCAGAAACAGACAGATGTGACCAGACCAGAAGCTGAAGACCTGAGGAGCTAGCTATAGCTACAGCTGTAGTGCTACAGCTAGTTGCAACACTTCTAGATGCACTTTCAGGAGGAAGAGCTGAAGACCTGAGCTTCAGCTGAATTCAAGAGGAAACGTTGTGAGAACACGTTAGTCTTGTTTTACGACAAATTTAAATGTGAATGTTAAAACTCTGAGCGCCAAAGTCCATGCTCAATAATCCAGCTATACAATCCAACAATGTTCAATCAGGTCATCTGGATGATTTCTTTCTTTACTGAGACGTTTCGTCCTTCATCCAAAGGACTTCCTCAATCCAAGAAGAACTCTGAGTGCTTACTTCTCTGGATGTCCTCAGTAAAAATAGTTATAAGGCTGTGTGTGTGTGTGTGTGTACCTTTTGGTCCCAGAAGCAGTGCCTCTGTAGCTTTTCTTCCATCCCCACATCTTGCCTCATCAAAAGGAGGACACTGCTCCCCTGTGCCAGCCACCACTTCTCCATTACCTGAACACGAACACACGGCATTCAAAATAATTGTTTACTGAATTAATGTCACAGGCTGTTGCTGAGTGAGGCATGTGTGAGTGGGTTGGTAGTGGCTGGGGGGGGTGAGGGGGGGGAGGGTGAAAAAAATTGATGCTTACTGGAGAGGTCATGGGCCCCACTGAGCATCTTGGGTCGGTAAATTCTTCTGGAGTTGGTGTCAGACACATACAGCTGCCCTGTCACTGGGTCGGTGGCCAGGAAGTACCGGTGGGCAAGGTTGTTACTGTGGACGACAGTCACAGACAAGAAGGTGGGAGGGGTCAGCAGCAAGACCAATGTCAGGATTTCCATGATCACTTGGTAGAGCTTAAATAAACCCAACTTCAAGTGGTACTTTGTGGAAAAGTTATCTACTTTCCATGTCTTACCATTTCTGATCATATGACACAGCTAATCTGAGGTCCTCTACGACCAGAGAGGGTTGCTGTCTCCAAAGTTTCAAAGTGGTTCATGTGGCCGTTAATTAAAAAAATATATATTTACACTGCCTTCAGGTTTACATTACAGTGAAATATATCCAAATTTTATGGTAATTTGCAAGTGCAAATAGAGGCAGCAGCAGCTAGCTGTAGCACTTCTACAACTAGAGAATTGCTAGAATTGCGCCGCTCAAGGTGGCTGCATGTTGGAGTAGCTCTGTTACTTTCATTCTGAGATATTACTTTTGGAAACTTTAATTCCTCTTTTTTCTGGATATAAATCACTTTTTTTGGATGATTATTTCCTCTGGTGTCAGATGCTGTGCAGCTGGAAGGATTTTTACAGAAATATCTTTGCTTTTGGACATTTGTTATGATGCGTAACCATGACAACAAGGTTGTTTTTTACAACAGGGAGCAGCTGATTAACATCTCCAAAGCTCAAATAATATCTCAACTACAGCCCCAAATCCCCAATGAGTTGAAAAGGAGGCATCATGGATGCAGAGCAGGAGCAAAGAAGAGAGAGAAAGAGAGAAGAATGAAGTTTAAACCATCTCTTCCATCGATCGTGATGGGCAATGTGAGATCACTGGGAAACAAGTTGGATGAACTTCAAGCCCTAACAAGGACCCATCCAGAGTATCGGGAATGCAGTGTTATGTGTTTCACTGCGACATGGCTGCAGGATCATATCCCCGACTCCAGCGTTTCCTTGCCAGACTTTCTGACCGTACGAGCAGATAAGAGATTTAAAGAGGAGTGGCAAAAGGAAAGGAGATGGGTTGGCAGTGCTTGTGAACAACAGATGGTGTAATCCTGGACCTGTTACTGTGAAGCGTCGTCTCTGCAGTCCAGATATTGAACTGTTAGCCCTAAGTTGTCGTCCATATTATTTGCCAAGAGAGTTGTTGCTGAGACTGCGTGTGATGTCATCAGCTCTGAGGTTGCTAAGCTACAGACACAACATCCTAGTGCATTTGTTGCAATATCTGTGGATTTTAATTATGCTTCTCTCTCTGCTACACTTCTGGCATTCCAACAGTTTGTCAGCTGCTCTACCAGAGAAAACGCTGGACTTGTTTTATGCAAATGTTAAGGATTAAACTGTTAAAGCTAGACCCCCTCTTGGCAAATCAGATCACAATCTTGTGTTTCTCTGCTCAAAGCATAAACCCCTTGTTCAGAGGCAACCTGCAATAAAGAGAACAGTGAGAAAATGGTCAACGGAAGCTGAAGAAGCCCTGCGGGGTTGTTTTGAGGCTACAGACTGGGATGCACTGTGCCAGCCACATGGAGAGGACATCAATGCCATGACTGAGTGTGTGACCGACTATATAAACTTCTGTGTAAACAGCACCATCCCCACCAGAACAGTGAGATGCTTCCCCAATAACAAACCCTGGATTACCACTGACCTGAAGGAACTGCTAAACCAGAAAAAAAGAGCCTTCAGGGAGGGAGACAGGGAATTATTGAGGAGCACACAGAAGCAACTTAAAGTCAAGATAAGAAACAGCAAGGAGGTGTACAAGAAGAAGCTGGAGAGCTAGCTCCAACAGAAAAATATCAGAGAGGTGTGGTCAGGGATGAAACAGATCACAGGCTTCAAGCAGAAGGAGGATCAGAAGGATGGAAGCCTGGACAGAGCCAATGAACTGAACACATTCTTCAATAGGTTCAGTTCAGGAACAAGCTCAGCATCCTCCTCTCTTACCCACAGCCAAACATACATACCACCCTCCATTGACCCAAGGCTGTCCTGTCACACCTCAAATATTGTATCTACCACCTCAGTCATGGACCCTTCTTCTACATATTGGTCTTCAACCAAATCAGAAGATGATGATACCTCCTTTGCCTCCCCCCTCTGCGTCTCCAGAAGTCAGGTGAGGAAGCAGCTGGAGAGACTTAACCGGAATAAGGCTGCAGGTCCAGATGATGTCAGTCCCAGAGTCCTGAAGGTCTGTGCAGAGCATCTCTGTGGGGTTCTGCAGCACCTCTTCAACCTTAGCCTGACCCAGGAGAAGGTTCCAGTGTTGTGGAAAACATCCTGTCTTGTTACCCTGATGCATGCTCAATAATCCAGGTAGAAAAATCCAAAAAAGTTCAATCTGGTCCTCAGCAACAAGCAAAGCAAAAACAAGCAAACCCACCCACACAGACCAGTATTTGTAGTTTGACTCCCATCACCCTTTGGAGCACAAGTTAGGAGTCATCAGGACTCTGTATCACAGAGCAGACAGCATCCCCACTAACTCGGGAGCCAGGCAGAAGGAGAAATCCTACACAAGACAGGCTCTAGAGCAATGTGGATATCCTAACTGGGTCTTCCTGAAAGCAGAGAAGAAACCCAAACAGGACTCCAGTCAGCCATCAGGTGAAAAGGAGGAACCCAGACCCAGACCAGTGGTCATTCCGTATGTTGAGGGAATATCAGAGAAACTGAGACGTTTATTTTGCAGATGGACCACTTTGTGGCATGGTGTGGAAACAATCATCTCATCTTGAATGTGAACAAAACAAAGGAGAGGATTGTAGATTTCAGGAGAATCAGGAACAGGTCCAAACCTATTTCCATCATGGGAGAAGAAGTGGAGGTGGTGGAGAAGTATAAATACCTTGGAGTTCACCTGGACAACAGACTGGATTGGAAATGCAACAGTGAAGCCATCTACAAGAAGGGACAGAGCATGCATCAGGATAAGGGACAGAGCAGACTGTACTTCTTGAGGAAGCTGAAGTCCTTCAATGTTTGCAGCAAGATGCTGCATATCATCTATAAGTCTGTTGTAGAGAGTGCTATCTCTTCTGCCATCATCTGCTGGGGTAGCAGCACCAGAGCAAGTGACTTAAAAAGATCAACAAGCTCATAAAGTAGGCTGGCTCAGTTCTGGGGACTCCTCTAGAACCTTTGGAGATGATTGTTCAAAGAAGGATTCTTCATAAAAAGAAGAACATTACAGACAACCCTCAGCGTCCTCTTCATCAGACTGTCATACAACAACAAAGTGTCTTCAGTCAGAGGCTTCTTCAAATCCATTGTAGGACAGACCGCTACAAGAGATCCTTCCTGCCCACAGCATCAGCATCTATAACAACTCTTTAATGAAACCAGGATGATGAGTTACAACATTTAATTTCCCTCTGGGATTAATAAAGTATTTTTGAATTGAATTGAATACACACACACACACACACACACA